CCCGGCCCGGTTATTGCCTGATTTAATTATCTCCACTTTATTCCTTCAGATGTTTATCAGCTGCTTTGCATATCACGTGGGGGCGCGCGGCCCAATGAGCGCGCGCCTGGCGCGACACTGGCGCGTCAGCCGCGGTCAAGTCCCGGAGATTGAGTATCTCTTTTTTCAGTCTTTGGGGCTTTTAAAAAAGAGCCACTAGTCTCAATGCGGATCGGGCTATGACAGCCTCCGTGCTCCTCCACCCCCGCTGGATCGAGCCCGTCATGTTCCTCTACGACAACAGCCTGGATGAGATCAATAAGAACATGGACGGGTTTCACGCGGGCAGCAACTTCGCGGCGGCGGCGGCGGCCGCCAACCCGTGCCGCAACCTCATGGCTCATCCCGCGCCCCTCGCCGCCCCCAGCGCCGCCGCCTACACGTCGAGCGAGGCCCCGGCGGCCGGCATGGCCGAGCCCGCTGTCAAGCAGTGCAGCCCCTGCTCGGCCGCCGTGCAGAGCTCCTCGGGCGCCGCGCTGCCCTACGGCTACTTCGGCAGCGGCTACTACCCGTGCCGCATGACCCACCACAACGCCATCAAGTCGTGCGCCCAGCCSGCCTCCTCCTTCGCCGACAAGTACATGGACACGTCGGTCTCCGGCGAGGACTTCACGTCACGGGCCAAGGAGTTCGCCTTCTACCAGGGCTACGCTGCCGGGCCCTACCAGCCCGTGCCCGGCTACCTGGACATGCCCGTGGTGCCCACCATCGGCGGCCCCGGCGAGCCGAGGCACGACCCTCTGCTCCCCATGGACAGCTACCAGCCCTGGGCCATCACCAACGGGTGGAACGGGCAAGTGTATTGCCCCAAGGAGCAGAGCCAGCCGCCGCACCTCTGGAAATCCGCCCTCCCGGGTAATACACCTGCGTGGGCCCCGGCCTCGCTCGCCCCTCTCGCCGCCGCTCTCCCACCCTGCTTTTTCCCACCCCACATCCCCGACTCTTCCCACTCGCGTTTTTGGCGTTTCAAGATGCGGGCTGACCCCTACCCCTCCGGCCGCACGCACATACCCAGGCATTTCAATGTGTGTGTGCACCCCTTCCAAAAAAAAAAAAAAAAAAAAAAATCCCCCCCTAATCAGCCCGCCCCAATGCCCAGCGCCCTAGGAAGGGAAACAGCTGGAAAAAAAAAAAAATCTGCTGAAGGTATGAAGTATTCGCGCCTAGCGAGAATTTTCCGTAAACACTGCAGCCTGCACCCTTGCAGCACTGCTGCGACCGGCTAGGGTTGCTCCTAGGCTTCTGCTCGTGATTTTTTTTCCTTTTTATTTTAAGCGTGATTATCTGTCTGCCTGACAACAGGGAGGCTTTCCGCTCCTAAAAGCTATTCATTGTATGGGGAAAAATATACATTTATAGAGAAAAAACTCAAGTGCTGAGTAGTGCTTCAGAAGCTAAAAGCTAAACTAAGCCTGGGTAGCAGGACAGAGGCAGAAGTGCCCAGTAACTCTACCCTCTGTAGCACTTGAAGAGCTCCGGGTCAGCTATGAGCATTTTATAACGTTTGTGTGCATGGTTTTTCTGTTGCAGACGTCGTTTCGCATCCCTCCGATGCGAACTCTTACCGCCGAGGGAGAAAGAAGCGGGTACCTTACACCAAGGTCCAGTTAAAAGAACTCGAAAGGGAATACGCTACAAATAAATTCATAACCAAAGACAAACGAAGAAGGATATCGGCAACGACAAATCTGTCAGAGAGACAGGTCACAATCTGGTTCCAAAACAGAAGGGTCAAAGAGAAAAAAGTTATCAACAAATTGAAGACTACCAGTTAATGGATTAAAATGGAGAAGCAGCAACTCACCAGTTTCAGGACTTTTTGTTGTTGTTCAGATTAAAATAATTATTAATAATAATTAAAAGAAAAGACAATGAACCTCTTCTTTCAGAACAAGAGATCTGTATCTTTGGAATTATAGCCTTTTTTTTTTTTTTTTTTTTAATATTACTGTAGCAAATGGTTAAAACTGACAGTTCTCCCGAAATCCAAGGCAGAGAGTCTAACTGACAAACTCTAAAGCCCAAATATCCAGCCCTGAGAGATTCACTTTCAGTTATGACACACAGTTTTCTGAGAAACTTGTAAGTACTTCTATGACCTTGCTATTTCAGAACACTCTTCGTGGCCACGATCTGAGAGCTGGTTAAAGGGAGGAGATCGATGTGTCCACATAAGCTTTTCTTCTTCCATTGTTCCATTGCAATCCGAACTGTCTGTTGAATGACTGCTCAGGTAAACCACAGTGGGAAAAAATACAATTACTGTATGTTTTTAAGCAATGCATTTTATGTAAAAAAAAAAAGTAATAATAAACGTCGAAGGTACTGAATAAGGATTTCAGAGACATTCAGTAATGAAGGAAGCTCTGTGGAGGATTTATCTTGATAGCAAATTTTAAACATCACAGACTATTGGGGATAGGAATGAAAATATTTGCTTGGAGATGTCTTTACTTTGGTTTTGTTTTTATTTTCAGTAGATGATTTCTGATCATCTGAACTGTTCGTTGTTTTTTTTTTTCTTTTTTTTTTTTTTTTTTTTTTTTTTTTTTTTTTTTTTTTTTTTTTTTTTTTTTTTTTTTTTTTTTTTTTTTTTTTTTTTTTTTTTTTTAATTTTCCTACAGACCGTACAATAGATACTTTTTAAGAGACTCTGTTTATCTTAAACCTCAAATGATCTTCAAGAATTAATATCGTAAGTCCCCGGAAAATCTTAATTGTTTGACTCTGGGTGAATCCAAAAACATGAGCATTGGAATTACGTTATAGTAAAGAAACAAAATCCTTTCTGAAAAAAAAAATCCAAGAACTTCGAACTGAATTACATTTTTTTCCCAGAAGTATTTTGATTTATATAATCTATATTTTGATCTGTAAGTAATTAGTCGTTTCTCCTTGTTTATCTTCTGTTATGAGGCCGCATTAGAACATTTAGGGATTCTTTTTACAGCACCTTTTAATCCAATCAGTTATTTCAACCAGCACATTATTGTTGTTTTTATTCACTATAAGAAGCTATCTTGTAAATAAGAAAAAAAAAAAGAAAATCAGCGCACTGTGAAAATGTACTTGTGCACCCTCATTTTTTTTATATATTTCTACTGACAAAAAGAAAAAAAAAAAGAAATCCAAGACGTGTAGATAGGTATAGTAGTATTAATACTGTTAATAAAATAGTCACTGTAATAAAGCCTGGAAGAAATGCTCTTTATTTTTTGCTACCTATGTGCATTTCGTAAAGGAATACAAAGTCTCTGGCTTGTAATTGTAATATTATTGTCTTGCATTGTGCAGTTGAAGGATGCATGTATATCTTGGTTGGATTTTTTGGTTTTTATTTTTTTGGACGGTGATAGCGTGGCGCAGCAGGCCTGATAAGCAGCTTCTCCAAGCTGAAAGTGATCTAATGATGATAAAGAGCCTTGTATTTTGAAGAGGGACTGGGAAGGGAAAAATAAAAGGGGAAAAGGAAAAGATGATACCAACGTAGAGCTGCAGCCCTTGTCGGAAAATGGGAACCAGCCGGGGCGGCCCCTCCAGCGCGGGGCCCGCGGAGCTGGGACGTTATCGCAGAGCCTGGTGGTGCCATCGCAGGCACGTCGGGGGTCGGGGGGATCGCTTGCGGCCACAGAGCTGGGAAGGAGACCTTAAACCTTGACCTTGACAGGGAAAAAGGGGGGAAAAAAAGAAACAACAACAACAAAAAAGAGGCGATTTGTGACCTTGACTTTTGACAGCTCGCGGCATTCGCGGGCCGAGGGCGCCACCTCGCGGCTGCCGCGGGCCGCGCTGCGCCGCGCATCGCCCGCCGCCCGTGCGCGCTGCACCTGCGCGCCCGCGCAATTATCCCTACGGACGTGTGTGCTTCATACATATGTGTATACACATKACTATATATATTGTAGGGTGTGTGTGTGTGCATATGTATCCATACCATATCGGGCTTTAGGGAGGTGCGCGAGGCTCGGCGGATGGGTCCTGAGGCGCTTTCTTTCCCTGGCCTTGGGCCGGTGAGTCCGATTTCTGGCACAAATCCTTTGCTGCGGCCGTGGCCTCGTGGGGGATCTCGGTTTGAGGCCCGGTGGTGCGGGCGGGTGACGAGTTTTGCCGGGCAAGAAGCGAGGTTTCCTTGTAACCTTCCCCACACACAGCCCTCCACCCCCTCTCTGCCGTGGTGGTCTGCGGCTCTAATTAGGGTTATTGGGGAGTCTTTACRGTAAATTTAAGAAGTATCAGATATACCATGCTAGCTGTGGACTTCTAGCCTTACATTTCGGAAATTCAAAGGGAACCACCTCGGGGTGGATCAGCACGGAGAGTCTGCTGGCGCTAAGAGCTCACTGTAACGCATTTGTGCAATAATTTACATGAAAAGTACCTGGAGCAGAAATATCTAGTTTCCAGGAAGCTGTCATATTTGGGGCTTTTTCGCTCATTTCGGTGTTTCCGAATAGGCACGTATTTTCCACGAGCTCCGCGGCACAGTTCTCGGGCCTGCCGTTCCGCTGCTTCCTGCTTGTGGGACTTAGGGGCTCTGGGATGACCGCGCGGGGTTTTGCAAAGCGGAGTCAGGGTGACCCGCAGCCACTGAGCRTGGCGATATCTGTAGCATCCCTTCGGGGAGCAGTTGTGGACTTTCTGAGCCCCCTCTCCTGAGCTTTGTTATGAAAATTGCCTTGGGGAGGTGCATATGTGATGGTCGGTGATGAGGCCTTGCAGCCAGGCTCTGATCTGAGAGGCAAGGAGGTAGTGGGAGAAGCAGCTCCCATAGCCGAGGAGCAAAGGCCGAACCCAGAGGCTCCCGAAGAGCCAGCTCCGAGGGGACGGGCGCCTGGGGCTGCCAAGGGCAAGAGAAGTCAGGCTAGTCCTCCCTTGCCTCAGGTAGCCAGTGGCCTCCGTGGCCTACAGAGGCCTTAAAGACCATTTTCATCCAGGCAGCAAGATCTCGCGCTGAGGCTCTTAGTGGCGCCGCAGGCGGATGCTCCTCCTGGGAGCATGATCCGAAGGGAAGGGGCCGAGCTCGATGAGTCTTGGGCAGCCCCGACTGCCTGGCCCGAACCTACTGCCCGCAGGCAGCGACCTCGAGCTCCTGCCTTGCTGCTAGGGACAACGCCTGCTCCTGAAGGGGCTCGTTTGCTTGGATAAAGAAGGCCGCTTGTGAAATACACTTGTCCTGCTCCTTGTGGATACAGCTCTGTATTCCGTTATATTTCGCAAACCTGGATAATTGCTGCATGAGACACGCCGCAAATTACACGCGTTTCACATCGGAGGTGTGTGTGAGCGGCATGATTCGAGTTGCGTTTCATTAGCGACAGTCCGCAATGACGGTTTTAGTGTGTCCTAAGAAGCTTCTTCTGTTTCACACCGTGCCTTAGAGCGATGGAGCTGAAGGCCGCCTGGAGAGAAACTCACAATGGGAATATGGCCGATTTCTCATTAAAAATAAAATAAAATAAAATAAAATAAAAGCTTCTAATTGAAACTAGCTTAGAAAGATAATGCTTTCTTCGCATTCCCAAAGCATCGAGCTGTTTGCCATTCAAATCTGCTAAACATTTCTAGACCGAGCTTCGATTAGCGAATTTGAATTCCCACTACTGTTCAAATAGCTATGGCGCATATATATTTCACAGTGTTAAAAAAAAAAAAAAAAAAAAAAAAAACGGGAAGCGCTTGGCTTGTGTAAGCCTTACGGGTAAGGTAACATTTTGGATCGGACCCCTACTCCCATGCGAGGCAGCTCCGAGGTCTCCGCAGGCTCCACGTCGCAGAGCCCCGCGCTAGGAGCGGGATTGAGCCCTCAGCGCAGGCCGGGCTCGGCAGGGCCGATACGGCCGCCCCCGGTCCTGTTCTGAGCCCACCTGGGAGGCGAGCCCCCATACAGGCCCAGCTGCCGTCAGGTGAGGCAGGGATCGGCCTGAAGCGATTCTCGTGGAGGCGGCAAGGGCGAGGCCACGGTGACGGTCGGCCGGCCCAGGATTTGGGTTAGGGTCTGCACGGCCAGGATTAGGCTGAGAGCCGCGGAATTGGCTCGCATGAAGGTGGCCGGACGCCGGGGCCCTTCGGCCGCRACCTCCTTTTGGGGTACATAGGGCACGGACGGAGCCTCAACCGCGAAACACGCCGTGTGTGCGAGGCCTCGGTGCCCGCCTGTTCGGTCCTGCAGCCGCCTCTGCGCGCCCATCCGCGCATCCCCCGGCGCGGCCGCGGGAGAGCCGCACGCAGGGTGTGGGTTCACATTATTTATTACCGTCATTTATAGTCCAAAAGCTGTTGGCACATGCATTTTCAAGTACAAATTGCTGTTGTATTACATATTCCCCTCTCAGAAAACTGCCGCCGGTGCCCTAAAATATATCCCCATCTTGTCTTATAAATGCGTGCATCATCAACGAAAATAATTAACCAACATGATCCATTGCTGCACGACGTGGGGATCCTGTCCGCCCAGGCACGCGGTTCGAGTAATATAAGTATTTATATGTCCCGCGTTATCCAAAGCGTTTTAAAACGTTTGTGTCCGGCTTGTGTGGTGGAATAATATATGCGAGCAGTTTTATTTGCAGACATAAAAAAAAAAATCCCGGAAGAAGTATTTCAAAGCGAAACAAGAATGAAAGTAAAATGCAAACCACACACAAGCAAAATCGGGATTCTATTTTTTTTAGTTCCCTGCAGAAAAGAAATATATATATTTATATATAACTATGTTTTATATAATATATATAAATATATATTTATATATATATGTGGTGTACAGAAAGGAATGTGTAGAAGGAGGCAAAGGAGGAAGGGAAGAATTTGAAAYTGTATTTTTA